TTTAAACGAAACAACAACAATCTAGAGAATTAATCAAAAAAAAAAAAGATGCTTTCCGTGTATAGTGATCAGGGTGATATAACAAACGAATAAACCTACAAAATTTCTAAAATAAAATAAGTCTAATGATATATATGTGATATAGTAAAATGAAAAGTTGAATATGACCTAGGTAGTAGAAGAAACGAATAAAAAGCATCAGTTTGTCTTGCTTGCTTTTTATAGATTGAATAGCAACATTGATCATTTCACATTTACCTCGTCATGTTGCACATAAGGAAAAAAAACAAGAGAAGAACAATAAATAACAACTTGTCTTATTGAGAGCGATAAGCTTTTTTTATGTTTAGTAATCGAAAATTGATTTATAAATATCTGTGAAAAAACTTTTTAATATGATCATTTATGAGTAGAATTATGAAGAATATTTATTTACTCTTGCGTCAATAGAAAAGAAAAACAAATCGAAAAAGTCACATCAACAAAAGAGAAGTTCATCATATTCTTGATACTTTTACAACAGAATTTTTAAAAAATTCGATAATTTATGTCATGAACTAAAAAAGAAACGATGAGCTCGAAAAGTTCACTTTTATTTAATAATTTAAAAATAAAAACAAATATGTCAACTTAATGACTTACAAATAAAGAAAAATATGACGATTTTTATTTTATATCGTTCTATCAACTTGTTCATAGTATTTCAAATTAATCTGCACAAAATACAAATAACATCAAAGTCAAATACTCATATGATTTATTTTCGTCAAGAATTATTCGATTCCTTTGAAAATTCGAATTTTCATCATAATAATTAACAAGATCAAAAGTTCAGTAGTTATACAATTCTATTAACATTATCGTTTAATAAACGAATATTAAAATATCAAATTAACTTTTGATATATGTTTCACTTCTATTAACTATTTTTTATCAACATAATTATTAACGGATGATCAAAAAGTTTTTGGAAAAAATTGAAATTACTATTTGTCTTGTTCTACTAATGTTTTGTCTTTGATTTTTTTACATAAAATCCAAACACTATGGATCTATAAAATGACATAATCAATCTATCAAAAATGATTGTTTATCTGTAGATCTTCGTAACAATTGAATATATCAATTTATTAAAAATTAATATATAACTAACATTAATATTGTCAAAATGCACAAAAAGTGCCTTCGAACAAACTTCGGAAAATCGATAGATAAACAATCATTTTCAATAGATTGATTATGTCATTTTATAGATCCATAGTGTGTGGATTTTCTGTAAAAAAAATCAAAAATAAAACATCAGTTGAACAAAACAAATATCAATTTCAATTTTTTTCGAAAACTTTTCGATCATCCGTTCTCATAAGTGAATTTCTAAACATTTCTTATATTACATCTAAGGATGAATACAGCTTTTCATATATTAACTCATTTTTCAATTCAACTTTCAATGAGACTCAATAAAAGTTTTCTAGTTAAAATTTTATTTGCCAATTGATTAAATGCCTTTCGAATAGATTCGAATATTGCTTAGATTGATAATTCTAACTGTTTATATCTATAAAATAAAGTACTTTATAGAAAAAAATAAATTATTGTTTAATGATGAAGTATAAGTATAAATAAAAACAAACAAACAAAAAAAATATATATATATATAATTAATTGAATGAATGTCCGCACGACGAACAAAATTTGTCTGTAATAGATTGTCGTGGTAGACCACATCGAGGACAAAATGCTACTGCTGAAGTTGAATATGGTGGAGGTGCGTAATTATCTTCTCGTCGAAAAAACGATGTTGATTCTGGAGCAACTTTATTTGAATGATGCATTCGATCAAGATTTCCTTGGGGAATAGAACGACCAATATCTATTGCTAACTAGAGAAAAATAAAACAAAACAAACAATTGAAATATATATGAAGAATTATTTTATCGAAATTTATCTTCACAGTTCCAATACATATTATATACTGACATTTTTTTTTCTTGACTATTTTTTAGTTATAAATAATATTCTTAAGAAAAATGAATATGTTAATAAGAAAAAAAAAATCATACTTGATAAAACATTTGATAATTATTATATGTATATCCTCCAAACCAAGCTCTTGAAATCTCTAATCTCCAGCTACATGGTATTGGTGATCTCGATGAATATTTCATTGATTCTTCAGCAATGGCTTGTCTTAATCGTGCTGTACGTTTTGAATATATAAGACAAAATCCAACACTAAAAATTAATGATCCAATTGTAGTAAACGATATTCCAATAGCGAGTAATATATAAAAAATTTTAAAAGATTTAGCTGCCATTATTCCACCGACAGTAAAACTTGCTGTTCCAAATACCATTGATAAAGCAAATATAATTGAATAAGCAATTAAAAAATTTTTATATGAAGAAAATGTTTTATTTATTTTAGTAATTGATTCTTGAAATTCATATTGACTTATTATACCATTTAGATGAATTGGATATGTTGTATCATATTCTCCTTTACAACATCCAGCTAACAAATAAATAAAAATAAAGATTTTATCCTATTGAAAAATTCTAACTTACTTTGAATCATCGGTATATAAATTGTATTAGCATTTACAGGAACACTAATCATTTTGTCTTTTATTTTTCAAATCAAATTATCTTAATCAAGAAAAACAAACATACAAATTTATTTTGTTAAAATAACTTAACAATGGAATTGGATAGATCAAATATCTCAAACTCTATCAATTGATTATAGTCTAGAGGAAAATGAGTCTCTCTATGGGAGCAATGGATATTTAACTTATATTCAATATTATAGAATAATAAATCAAATACTATTTCAAATTTGATTTATTTTCTTAAACGTACTTATTTAAAAAATGTGTAGTCGAATGATCTATCATCATGTATATTACTTGAAAAAGTAAAGCAAAAATGGTTGACTTGAAACTTATCTTATATATTCCGACCTTACCTATAAATATTCTCTATTAATAAAATAAATATTAGATATATCATTTATAATCAGGTAAAAGGAGTAAATAATATATAAATATCTTGTCTTTTTTTTCATCTCTCATAAAGATAATCATCATTTGAACTTCTATCTAACATACATTTGACAACAAACACACATCATATTTAAAACCAACTTCTATATACCTTTATCTTCCTCTCACAGCACACGTTGCTTTCAAACAATTATTTGCTTATCATAAATATACAGTGGAGAAAAGAAAGAATATAAAATCTAACGATGGGATCTATGAAATGTTTCTACATAGATATAATCGTGACAAATATTGACTCATATTTTATGTCGAGAGAAAAAAATAACGAAAAATAATAATATTAAAATAAAACACATGAAGAATATTGTTCATATATAGAAATATAAAATTCTATTAATTGTATATAAAATAATTGATCATCAATATTCAAACTAAAGAAAAAAATCGCATAGTTTTCATCATTAAATAGTTGAGATTTTTTTCTATGTTTAATTTATTTAGAAAATTATTTTCATTTTTAATCTTGATTATATTCTATAGAAATCTATTGATTTTATTTTTTTAATATAGATTTTTCATACCGATTTTAACTTTATTATATAAACATCTATTGAATTATGAAATTGTAGATATTCATTTATGTGGAAATGAAACAATATTTATATTCTCATGATCTAAAATATCCTTCTCAATATTTGTGCTCGAAAGAATAACTATTTTAAATCGACGATGGATGATAGTTTTCAGAAACATAATGAGATATTAGATTTTTGAAATTGAGACTTGTTCTATAAAATATTCATTCTTATTCAATCCGAATGTAGGTATTAATTTTCAACAAAATATTGTAAGTATTTACGTGAATTATTCAAATGTTTAGACTTCTACAAACTCGATCTAATGAAAGAAAAGCTACGATAATTTAAATCTTAAGTATAATTATCCAAAGTAATGCCTTTTGTTTTTACATAATCTTGATCATTAAGGTTATTTTTAAGCGAAATCAATAGTCAAGTTTTGTGCCCAAGTATATTTTCTATTGATTAATACTACAAGTAGAATATCAAATGTCATAAATAAGATTGTATTCGAGAATTTTCATGATTTCTTTCGATAGATATTTTTTTTTAAAGTATATCTTAAAAACTATTAAACAAACATGAGTCAATAACGAGATAAATGTCTTCTGACACAAACAGAAATATATCTATGTCAATAATAACAATTCGAATTGAAATTTATGATAACTTTTATCTTTTATTTAATATGATATGACGTCAATAACTATTCAATAGACTAATGATGACGTTCTGCCAATAAGAATAATATTGAATTTTTGCAGAAAGTATATATTGAAGCGTAATAAAGGCAATAAATAAAAAAAAATCCTCTAACGCAGCACTATGGAAAAAGAATATTTATGTTATAGTAGAACTTCCTGCCATAGATATTCATATCATAAGTGGAAATCTCTTTAACTAATGATTTTAGTCTAAAAATGTTTCATTTTACAATCGTGAAATTTCATTATTATTCTTTTAATAAATTAATTTTCAATGACGTAGATCAATAAATAGGAATTCTTATCCTTGAACAATATAATGATTCTCAATATGATATTCTTCTCTTTTGAAATCGATCTACGTATTTTAAGTTATGCATAACATTGAATGATACAGAGAACTGTAGTCTTTTCAGAAAATTGAGAGCCTGGAATTCATTAAGTCGTTGTGTGCTTGGGAACATTGACGCTTACGATCAGTAATAAGTTTTGGTCTCTCGATACGACTATTTATCATTATTGTCAGGTGCAGAAAATGCAAAGTTTGATCTATTTTTTTTTCTCATTTGTTTATATGTGGTCCGATAGCGCTTGACTAGCCGGTCATGAATATATAGTTTTTATCTCGATTTGATTACCATTTGATTAAAAAAAAACATAAAAATCTCGAATGAATAAAACTGGAAAGGTGCTACTTGAGAGCTTGATTTTTTTATCGAATTTGTCAAATCTTAATTATGTTACTTTTTTCAAACTTTATTAAAACATTTTCTTCTTATTTAACATTAAAAATTGAATAGAAAAATATTATTTGATTAGATTTACAGTTAATAGGGTTTAAAAAACAATCCTCTCGAATATAAATAACTCAAATATCCCTCATAGCAAGTATTTGTGAGTATAAAAGTAAGGTACCGGTAATTGAAAATTTGAGGAAAATTTTTTTTTTCTTTGATATTTATATGGTTGGATAGAGTTCATAAAACTGCATAAGAAAATATTTAAAAAACAATTTTTCAAAGCTCTTAACAAAAGCAAAAAAATTGAAAAGACAAGACACTTATATCTTATAAGATATCGGTCTAGTTTTATAAATCCTATTCTAACAACTTTCAAACATTTTTTCCTATTATTCAATGTGGAAAGCTGAGTATAGAAACTCAATTTGGAGACTGGTCCATCATAACTTGATTGCAGCTTGAGAGGACCAATAAATCTATGAGTCAGTTTTTTGGAACTATTGTTTTGTTGTTGAGAAATGACGTTTTTCGCTTTCATGGACAAAATTCTGCAAGAATTCCGGTCATTTCTAGTGATTTTTAACATTATAGTTTTATTTTGACGCAAAATATATGTCATATTCAAAACTTTTCTAGCGCAATATTTTTCTCGACAAAAACCAACCTGTACCCTCCCTCAACCGAAATTTTCCAAAAATTGGACTGAGGGGGAGCACAAGTCGATTTTCGTCGAAAAAAATATTGCACTAGAAAAGAATGTATTTGGCTCAGTTTTTTATGCTAATTTTGACTATGACATATATTTTGCATAAAAATAAAACTAAAGTTAAAAATCATTAAACGTGACCGGAATTCTTGCAGTTGTCCATGAAAGCGAAAAACGTCATTTCTCAACAACAAAACAATAGTTCCAAAAAACTGATTCATAGATTTGTTGGTCTTCTCAAGCTGCAATCAAGTTATGATTGACCAGTCTCCAAATTGAGTCTCTATACTTAGCTTTCCACATTGGATAATAGAAAAAAAATGTTTGGAAGTTGTTAGAGTAGAATTTATAAAATTAGACCCTTACTTCTCAAAACTAGATCGATATCTTATAAGATATAGGTGCATTTGTCTTTTCAATTTTTTTGCTTTTATTAAGAGCTTCGAAAAATTTTCTAAAAAATATTTTCTTATGCAGTTTTATGAGCTCTATCCAACTATATAAAAATCGAAGAAAAAAATTTTTCTCAAATTTTCAATTACCTCTACTTTAAATAATCAAATGTTGTTCTGATTATCATGTGTCATTAATTCATATATCTGGTCTCTTCTTATTTTTCTCTTTTCGCTCTACTATAGCCCACATTGATAGTTCATACGATAGAAATCTATATTCTTCGTATACTGTTAGTCATATTTATCTTTCATCTTTATCTACATTTGTTTTGTGTACTCTCTGTAAGTCCTGTTCTTGTCTGTTATTCATCTTCTATCTTATATTCAGTGTATAACCATTGTTGCGTGGTCATTTGCTTGTAGATGGCGGGATTGATGAGAAAATAATAAAGAATTTTTGTTCTTAAATATTGGTGGACATCAAGAAGACCATGATGAACAGTAGATACAGCTTTTTGAAATGAATTTCCTGGCGACAGAATTTCGAATCGATCGACAATTTATCGACTATCAAAAAAGTTTGATGAAAGACATTCTGTCGATGACGCACCACGAAATGGTAGACCTACAACAACCAAGACAGAAGAAAATACTACTTTGTTTTTTTTCCTGTCTGTGAAAAAGTAAAATTTTTTTGTTGAAGTCAATATTGGAATTTGAAAAAGGTTCTCTCTATCGTTGTCTTTATGGATATGGAGTGTGAACATGCCTTTACTAGTGAGAAAAAATCAACCCGTTTGATCGAACCGTAACAGAGATATTTGATTGTTTCTCGGTTGCTTGACTTTTGAGTCATCCTATATAATTAATTTTAGAACGAAAACGTGATCAATGGAAAAGATAACAATTTTTATTGTCATTATTCTCATATTTATTTATTTTTCTGTTGTTTTATTTTAACTTAATGAATTTCTCGGACACTCAACACCGACATAAATTGTTATCATCATAAATTAATCGATTCATTTCCATTGTTTGACCAAGTTAATATTGAAAATAACATCGCACAATTCGATATTATAACGCAATTCTTCGTGTAGTTAACATTCGAAATCTCTTTCGATAATAGAAGAGCTCGAGTATTCTAATATTATGTCCAACTGTAGAAATTTTCCCGGAAGTGAGGCAGTGGTCATCTATTGTATTTTACTTATTTACATAGTTTTTAATTAAAAGAATTTTTTAAAGAATCAAAGAGATTTTTAGGGTTTTTTCAAAGCCGATAAATTATCTTGTCCTTAGTATTTTAATGCTGTTTAGGTTAAATCCTTGAAATTTAGATAGATTTTGATATAAATATACGAATCAGAATTCTAAATTCAAAATAAATTAATTAATTGAGGAGAATCTTCTATTAGATAGGGAGGGCATGATCGATAAACACTATTCATGAAAAACAACTTGTATAAAACAACGTCTTAACGGCAACTTTTTGAAAAAAAAACGCTACTTTTGCATTTAAATACATCTTTTTTTCTTTTAACACCTTTATATTTTAATTGCAACACATTTCAATTCATCTCTTTTTATTTACAACGCATTTTTTTTTTAGTTGAAACATGATCTAAAAATACCACTATGAGCCAATGCATGAAAGGGCACATGTTTTTTTTCCTTCAATCAAAGTTATTTATAGCATTATTCGAATGGATTGATTTTTATCTATTTATTTATCATGCATTTAAACATGCCTTTTTATCGTTATTTTACTAAAGATAACGGGAGTTTTTTTAGAAACACTATAGACACTACTATTTATAAGACGTTTTTTTTGGGGAGGGACGGAGGGCGAAAAGATGAATTATTTAATAAACAAGTTAAATGAATATTTCCATTCGTATTTTGAGTAAAAATGCTTTTTTTTTTTATTTGAAATAAAGATCTGTAAATATAAAGAAAAATATTAATTGATATCACAATCAAGAATATATTTGGTCAAATAGAATTGTTCTCGAGATAAAACATATGAATATAGAAAAGCAGAATCTATTTAAAGATTAGAAAAGAAAGAAATACGAAGAATGCCAATGAATAAAACAAATTTATCCTGATTAAAAAAGTTTCTTGATCAAATTAGAAAACTTCTAAATAAGATCATACTGAAATAAAAACTCTCTTCAAGTTTTTTTTATGTAACGATTAGTCATACGGACATTTTTTAAATTCTTTTTAAGAATTTCTATTAATCAACAAAACATATATCATATATTCAATTGATTTAAAGAGATTATTTATAGGGAGAAAATAAACGAACAGATGTTTGTTTATCACCACTAAAACACTTTAACTCAAATTCTAGGACAACTTCCATTATTTCATTAGTGAGATTTGTTCTATAAGCCTCCGAGGAATTTTATTTGACTCTATTCTTTATTTCCTTAACGATCAAATAAAGGCTTTGTGAACATGTTCATGTATCCTATCTCTAATTAATGAATATATTGTTTTATTATCAGTTTGACTCGAATAAATGAGACATACATTCGTTTATCATAAGATAAATATTTTAACATAAATCTTTACTTTTTTTTCTACTTTTAAATGGAAGAGTTTCGTTAAGTGAATCTCAGTTGTTCTTTTTTAATCTTAAAAATAATCTCATGTGATAGATGCCGCTCATAGAGTTAAAATGTCTATAGACATATATATCACATATGTTGCTATTTCAATCAAAAAAAAAAGATTCCGATAGGTTAATAGGAAAACAAAATGAATAGATAATTAATCTAGTGATAATCGTTTATATATAAATATCTATGGTTAGTTAGAAGGTCGAGATAAGCTACATTGAAATCGACACTGTCAATTTGAAACGTTTTGATTCATACTGGCAGTGTCGACAATGAACAAATTCAATTCTAATATACCTTATCTCGACTTAGAAATATAATATAAAATATTCGTTGATAAGAATTTGACGAGTCGAAGCAAACTAATAAAAGAACATACTTCAATTTCTCTCCTAAAATCATCTTCGGATAATCTTATACAATTAACACATATACTCTTATTACAATGATGATTATTATCGATTAATACATTTCACTTTTTTCAAGGTAAGTAAATATCATATTTTCATTTTGTTTTTTTTCTTTGCCAAATTCGTTTTCTATTCGTTTATTGATATTATTTTATCATATATTCACTAATCTATCACACATTTCTACGTAAATTTGTTTACTGAAAATTGAAAAAAAAACTTTGAGAATGATTTATCATATTCAATATTGAAAAAAACCGAAGAATAGTTGACACATTTAAGTTATTCATTACAATTGAATACACGACTAACTATAAATCAATTTGAAGGAATATTTCTATATTGACTATACTTCAGATTTTTCAATTCTAACTACGACACTATTTCACTTTATTCACACAATTTTCACTCATTCATCTAATTTACACATAGGACTGCGCAAGAATGAGGACGCTACGATAAATTTAATTAAAGTGAGCTTGTTCTCTAATTATCATATATATATTTTCTGAAATATGCGAATTGATTAAAAAAAAATCATGTTGAAATGCAGATTATATGATGGTTAGGTGCTTATCTTGCAATGCATTTATGAAAAAGAAACGTTTTGATCAATTTGTATAGATGATTAATCATATTAGGATTTCCCATGAATGAAACATTTCATGTCAATCGAACATTGTTTTCTAATTGATTTGAAAATATGTTCACTTTTTTTCATTGATCGATAATTATCATTATTTATTTAATAGTTCTCTCAAATTATGTTTCACCAATTCATTTGTAGTATATTAAAATAATACTAAGAATTCGATTGAAATATCATATATATATATATGAATCAATTACAACTATTTCTGACTAGAAGATTTTATTATACTCTATGTCTATGTTAAGGGACAAAAGTTTATCAATACTTCACTAAGTATTAAGGGTACCCCCCCCCCCTCTTTAGTGACCAAAAACTCGATTTCGAGCTGAACCTAAGATACGATAGCCTGAAGTGCCACATGCAACTAGAGACATTATTCGAGTCTAAATTTTTTTCTTTTACTTAGCGTTTTGTAAAACAGCGATTTTCTGAATCTTGACACATTACGACCTCTCTTAAAGTTTGTCCGATCGAGCTGAAAATTTTACCACTAATACTTTGAAGTATTCTCCAGAGGTAAAATAAAGCGTTTTCATTTTTGATGTTTCTACTCAGAGTTACAGGGTCGCGAAAGTCAAGACCCGAAGCACAAACTCAAATCTTGGCGTATTTCTCTTATAAAAAAAAAGAAAGTGAGATTTTTGGAAATCTTTAAATTTACCTCTGAGGAATAGTGTTAGGCATCTATAAACAAAATTTCAGCTCAATCGGATAAGCTTTAAGGGGAGGTCGTAATGTGTCAGGATGCGGACCTCTGGAAAACCAGAGTTTTCCTGAAAAACTCCACAAAACCTCTTTTAAATTCTTTTCCTCGAACACATATCCCTTTATTTTTAGTGCTCTCTCTGTGCTAAAAATTTCAGCTTGATTGGTTGTACCGTCTTCGAGAACCAGCAAGTATCAAAAAAGAGGGGGGGGGGATACCCTTAAGATAAATACATGTTGTACAGTTTTATTTCTGCTAAATTTAATAGTAAAATTGGCTTTACTCATTGAAAAGATTCGAGCCATTTTTCAGCTCTGTATGTAGGATAGGAAGTTAGAAGAAGACAAGGGAGGAAGGAGCGAGACTTCAGGAGTGCGTACTTCCATGATACGTCTCTGTACTTCCGTCGTACTTCAAATACTTCGGAAGTAGATGAAGTTTCGCTATTTTCTCCTTGGGAGAAGACCACAGTATACTCGAATTTGCTTGACGTATTCTATTCATTTATATTCTAGTCGAAAAGAATATTTTCGAATGAGTTCGATTGAAAATATCTGCAGAAAAATCGTCACTCAACATTTTTCATATAATGTTAATTTCTCCTGAACAGAAGAAGTAGATTAACGGCTGAATTTTTTTATCATTAATAGAACTTTTTGTTTGATATCTACTATGAAAATTTGAATCAAATCGAACGATTCGTTAAAGAGTTCTAAAGTGGTCAATATTCAAATGGTCACTCTACAAAATGAGTATAATGATCTTTTGTTTCATAAAGTTTTCTTATTTTTATCCAGAAACAAATATGATAACACAAAGTTTTTTTTTTCATTAGTTTGTTCATTAAAGAGTTGCCTTTCTTTCGATATAGTCCGCACACTATTAGCTTTATCTTTGTCAGAACTAGAATCAAGTTTCTGTCACTCAAAATAAAAGCATACAAGTATTTGTCAAACAATGTGAACATTAGATTCAAATTGTTTATAAATGTTCATAGAGCATCGAACGCTCTACAAAACAGCCTCATTACACACTTTTTCTCTTGGTTTTCTATAGCTGAAAAATTTCTTTTTCTTTCCACATATTAGTAAAAACTAACGTTTCTTTTTTTTGTAATATACCTCTCAGAACTCACCGATGGTATGAACGATAGAACTGAAATTTTATGTGACAGTGCGACATACGAAGAGGAACAACATATAAAAAAAATATTCGAAATCGGTCGGAAGAAACACAAGTTATTATCTAAATTCAGCTAAAATGTCAATAGTACGAAAAAGTTGCAATTGACTAATATAATCAACATATAAAACGAGTATTTTAACAACAAAAAAAAAAAAAGAAATGAAATATGACACTTTTCAATTCTAAAAGTTCATAAGTATAATATATGTTGATTGTGCTTTTAATTTGAATAATTCTAAAAAGATGATATAATTGAGATGTATATTTATTTAAACAGAATGTGCTGAGAAAAAAAAATTATTTTAATTTTGAAATGGAAAGTTATTATGGGTTGTAATCTATTTGTGTTTTTTTTGACTGGTAGTAAAATAGAAAGTAAAGAATATTTTAACGAATTTTTTTTCTCGTTTACTTTTATTGCAAAGAAGTAAAGAGAAGAAAAATGAAAGAAAAAAACGCTTAACATCAATGAATCATATTGACAAATGTATAAAGCAACACATTTCTCCTTTTCTATAATCGCTCGCTCCTTTTCTAACGACATTTTTTTTTCTTTTACGAACACATCTGTACTATTTTATGGTTTTTTTTTTCTTTCGACCAATGAATAATTTAATATTGATTGTGAAGACGACATTTCGAGTTCAAGGTTTTATTTATAAACATAATATTTTATTTTTAGATTTTTTTTTTATTGTTCATTGTCCTAATATCAAAGTATTAAAACAAATATTTGTTTAATGATTAATTAAAGTGAGTAATGAAATATTTCACACATAAAAAAAATTTTTTTAATCTGTTATAGATAAATTTAAAAAATGACTAAAGAATCATCTGAACAATCTCAAAGTGGAATAAAAATATATACAAGTAATCCATGGAATTTAATTAAAAGTGGATTTCTTGTTCTTACATGGATTGCTTTAGTAAGTTTCATGTAAACCTTTACCTATATTTAACCTTAAACAAAATTAACCTTGAACAGAAGTCACTTTTTATTTGAAGCAAAAACTGTCAAATCAATTTTTTTTTAATTCGAATATTCATATTGATTAAACAAACATAGGAACTATTGCATTTTCTTTTTAACTAGATAGACTATTTATTTATGAACAAGTTAACTAATAGTTGAAATTATTCCTCTATTCAATTCTGATAAAATGATAGTAATTATTGTATTACACCAAATATTTTATCGAATAAATCCTTCATTTTTTTTTTATTGTAATTTAACTAAATAAAATTTATGAAGGAAATTAAATTCGAAGAGAAATAAATAATGGATAAAAAATAATGATAGTAAATAAGCATAAGGTTAAAGATTGTTTTCTTTTTCTTAATAGGATATTTGTAAGATAAAGTAGATTTAAATAAAAGTTAACCATAAATTAATATAAATCTATATGATTACTTGTTTATTTTAATCATTTTCCATAAATTTCAACTTAGTCTGATATATCTATCTAAAGAGTATATCTATCTGTTCTATAATCATATTATTTATATATTGATTTTACTAACAAAAAAAAAAAAACAAAAAGATAAATGAATGATAAAAAGAAAATGTTGTTTGATAAAAAAAAAAGGGTATTCATCTTGAATTGGTTGGACCAACAATGGGAATTCTAGCATCAAATGCCAACGTTGATTATAGTGGTATGGGTTCAGCACTTGCATCACGAGGTGCAGGTTATTTAATAGCAAATATATGTGGTGCTTTTCTACAAAACATTGTTAAAAAACATTCGGAAGGTATTCTTGTTTGTGCATTTATATTAGCTGCTATTGGTAAGATTTAACTTATCTATAAATAAACATAATTAATAAAAGATTTATATTTAGCCGTTTTTGGTACTTCATTGGTAACATCATTGATATTAATGTGTATTTTATTTTTTATTCAAGGTGCTGCTCAAGGTCTTACAGATTTAGGTTTGTTTTAATGTTCGAACATTATCAAACTAAAGAAATAAAAATAAAAAAATTTTCAAGAATCGTTTAAGAATATTTAAATAAAAAGAGTATTTTTATTATGAAATTCAATCAGAATATATCCAATTAAATTTAAATATTTGAGTTCAATCAAAGAAACAATGTCAAATAGAATTTAAACAAAATTTAAAAAAAAAAATTACTATATTACATAATGCAGAATTGAATAATTGAATAAGACCAATAATTAATACAAATTTTTTGTCCCTATTAATTCCTATTGAGAATTCCAATTTGTATATATTTAGGTGGAACGAATATATTGTTAACAATGTGGGGTGCACATGCAGCGGCTCCATTAAATACGGCTCATTTAGGATATGGAATTGGTGCTGTTATTGCTAATTTACTTGTTCGTCCATTTCTTAGTCAAAGATCTTTATCAAAGGATACAACAAATAACATAACACTTAATGAAACATTTGAATCTGTCCATTCGATACCAACAAAAAATTCGTCTATTGTTGTTCCTTATTCAATTACTGCAGTTTTATGTCTTTTAATAGCTGTTGGACATCTTTTTTTCTATATTCGAGAACAAAAAAGTCAGAGAGAAAGATTAGAAATTCAACAGGTTATTATAAAACAATGATAAAACAATAAATAAATATGTTACGTTTATTTAGGTTGATTATACTGCTGTAAGTACAAATCCATTGAATACAACTCATACAATTGATAAAGATAAATCTTCTCCATATTCTCCTCGTACATGTGGTCGAGGATTTTTTCAATATGGTTTAATACTTTCAATTATATTTGTTATATATACATTTTTCATTGGTGGAAATGATCAAACATTTTCCAAATTCTTTTTTAGTTATGTTAAGCAAGATAAATTTAATATATCAACTCAAGGTGCAAGTTGGGCTACTATTTTATATTGGCTTTCATATTCTGTATGTACTATTACTTTTTTCATCGAACTATTTTACATTGTTTTCAGATATATGCTACTTATGAAAAAAGATTCAATTTTTTATTATTAAAAGGATATAGATTCTCTCTACTGACTGCACTCATTGAGATCTCTATATTGACTTAAGCACTTCGTTTAATCGTCGATGCTAGCTAATTAAATGATCATATTAAACAAGTTATATTAAATGACGACTATATACTTCAAATGACACATATAACAAGAAAATCATTACATGGTCAAATAAATAGCGAATTGATAGTGACAGTCTATCTATAGGCATTTTTTATCCTAGAGGTTAATCTAACATTATCCGAGATTTTTATTTCCATGGAATCATTTTTATTTTCTCTAAACAATTTTGTTCCTTTTTGTTTTTTTTACCTAATTTTCTCTTTCGATGATCAGTTGCTGTTGGACCGTTCGCTAAATGTTTCGACTGATTTTCTTGTCTATTGTCAGGAACAATTTAGTATCAAAGTGGTAGGTGATTAGTAAATATGCGAATGAGAAGTTCGGATAAATACCTAGAGAAATTTTCCATAATGTCGATCGTGATATTTAAGACTAGAAAAACTATCCTACCTAGGATATAAATGATAACTTTTCAAGATAATCTACCAGAGAGAAAATATTAGATTTGTAAAACTGTTTTTAAAATATTCTCTACCAGTTATTAATAATAATGATGTGAACAATCTCTATCACTTTCTTCTAACGAGTTGTGAAAAAAACTAAATGTGTTTTTTTTCTGAGAGATATTTTCTTAATAATATTCGTTGCTTTGTCTATTAATTGTTCGTAAATAAAAGTAGCAATAATAAAGTATATTTGAAGAAATAAAATTGAATAAGAAAATGTATGTTTTTTTTTTCTAAATCTAGATTGGTAGATTAATTGCTGCAATTATATCTGTATTTTTATCAGTGGATATATGTCTTAATATTGTTTGGTGTGGAGGATTTTGTCTTGCTCTAGCTTGGTTAATTTTTGTATGGGTTATTGGTTTAACAAGTACAAGTTTATTTATTCTTGGATCAGCAACTGGTTTAGTATTTTCGCCAATATTTCCATTATCATTTGGATATTTTAATCAGAAATTAAATGTTGTACCAATGCTTCTTGCTTTACTTTTATGTGGATCAGCAGTTGGAACAATAACACTTCAAAAAATAGCTGGTCAATCATTTTTCTAATGGTTTTCATTTTAATTTTATTTGAATGTCTTTTTCTTTTTAGGTTTTGTAATGGATCGTAATCCAAAACATTTTCCAACACTTTTAATTGTTTGTTTATTAATGTCAATTATTTTTTATCTTATTTCATATGTTATTTATTCTATTCATAAACGAAAAAATTTATCAAATCCTCGACCTTCTGTAACTGGTGGTGCAGCTCTTTCTCCTGAAAATTTTAATGAAGAAGAACAACAAATGGCTACTTATTTAAGAGATAATCAAGATACATAAAATACATTCATTCACTTTGTTTTTCTCTTTTTTAATTAAATAATTTTGATTAATAAAACAATCTTTTAGTTCGAATTAAGTCTTCTTTATTACAGTCGAATATTTATTTATTTATAAATTTAACAGATATTTTATTAAAAAGAGCTTATTTCGACATTTTCGAATAATAGTTTAATGATATTATCGATAAGTTATGGAAATATTCGAATAAGATCTTCAATTAATATACTGACTACTATCGGAATTTTAAAAGAAGGCATCTGGAAAAAAAACTTATAACTTTCGAACGAAAAGTTATAGCGACCTGCGGTTTTCAGCAATCGATAGAAGATTATAGGGAGCACATTTTTATATAAAAATCAAGGTTTAAATAATCGGTGATTGTGGAATCACTGAAAGAGTAGGCTCGTTTATTTGGTGAAATTTCAGCAGAACAAGCTGAAACTTTCAGCATATATAGCCCCACTGTACCCCAATCTTCGTTAAAAATATCATCGATAAATCTTGTAATGATGAGA